AGATAACGAGATTAGTTATCTCCATACTGATTTATACCTGCCTCTGGAGATTTCCATTACTTGCATCTGAAGAAGTGAGGTTCTTACCCACGAAAGCTTATGCTCCCAATACTTCTGTTAGTCTTAAAGGTGCCACAGGACCCTCTGTCGTAATATGTAGACGCACTTAAAAAATGCTGAAGGGGTGGGTGGGCGTGTGTGTGTTGGAGAGTTTTTGATTGGGTTTTATTTACAGTATGTGTAAGTAATAATTATGTAATGAGGTCTAATGTACTATATTGATCTCTACTGGTTATATTTATTGCAGGAATAGAACTGCTTTTTAACCTGTTCCCTGCAGTACATAGTGGAAGAGACGAAAGTGTTGAAATTCTGAAGAAAGGCAACTTATTGGGTGTCTCACCAGGTGGAAGTCGAGAAGCATTCTTTAGTGATGAAAACTACAACCTCCTGTGGGGTAATCGCAAAGGCTTTGCTCAAGTGGCTATAGATGCAAAAGTGGTGAGTGGTTTCTTGTGTGTGTATATAAATATGTTTAACCCACTGATCAGTGTGTGTTACATGCCCGTCTCTGCACCCAAGCCACAAAAAATGAGTCTATTACAGCTGCTAGCTACAGAGACTAGCTCTTTAACTGAAGCTTTCAATACTCATGCTTTTCACTCTGGAAGGAGGCGAGCAGCAGGCCAGGGGTTGAGGAGGCGAGTGGCGGACCGGGTGCTGAGCAAGGAGAGGGCCAGGCCTGGAGTCGAGTAGGAGTGGGGCCCGGGGGTGGAGTGTGTGTGGGGCTGAGGGTAGAAGAGGCAGGATAGGCAGCTAGCATTCCCCAGGGGAAACTTCAGCCACCACCCATGATTTTGCTGTGGTGCTGGGAATACCTTTACAAGACCTGAATAAGAGCTCTATGTAGCTCAAAAGCTTCTCTCTCTCACCAACAGAAGCTGGTCCAATGAAAGATATTACCTAGGGTTACCATCCGTCCAGGTTTCCCCAGACATGTCCGGCTTTTTTAGCTTTAAATGGCCGTCCGGGGGGGATTTCTAATAAGGTAGAAATGTCCGGGATTTCCCCCTTTCCCTCATGCAGAATGTGGTGTGGCTGATTGGACGGCTGTGCCTGATTGAAAGCCGCTCACAGCCACTGGGGCCTCTAGCAGCCAGAGTCCCTCCCCCGCTCCCTCCTCCCCCGCAGAGCAGTGCCTTATTTGTTTGGCTGCACTTGGAGCCTGCAGCTCCCCCTCGGCCTGGTGGCGGGGGATAGGCAAGGGACAGGGAACGGGGGGGTTAGATTGGTCGGGGGTTCTGGGGGGGCTGTCAGGAGAAGGGGGTGTAGAGAGCGGTTGGGCCAGGCAAGGGACAGGGAGGTTAGATTGGTCGGGGGTTCTGGGGGAGGGGCTGTTGGGAGAAGGGGGTGTAGAGAGTGGTTGGGGTAGTCAGGGGACAGGGAGCAGGAAGACTTAGATAGGGGGTGGGGTCCTGGGGGCAGTTAGGGTGTGGGGGGACAGGTAGGAAGTAGGGGGATTCTGAGAGGGGCAGGAAGTGGGAGGGGGCGGGGCTAGGGCGGCACCCCGTGTCCTCTTTTTTGATTGTTGAAATATGGTAACCCTATATTACCTCACCCTCCTTGTCTCCCCAATGGAATAAAAAACAGTTTTTGTTAATCTTCCCTTAGGTCTGGTCTACACTACAGACTTACATTAGTATAACTGTGTTGCTCAGGGGTGTGAAAAATCCATCGTAACTGCCAGTGTAGACAGTGCTTTGTCAGCAGGAGAGCCTCTCCCGTAGATGTAGCTACTGCCTCTTGGGCAGGTGAATTAACTACACTGTCTCCCATCAGCGTAGAGTGTCTTTATTTAAGCGCTATCGTGGAACAGCTGGCTTCACCAATGCAGCATTTCAATTGTTGATTTGTCCTTAGATCCTTATCCACCTGTCAAAGGTATTTTGTGATAGGGGTCTTTAATTGGGTCCTTGAACTAAAGATAGCTTAACTATTTTAAAAAAGAAGTAGGGAAATATGAAAAAAAAAATACCTAAAAGCTAGCAATGAACTGCAATTAATGATGGTATAGTGCAAGCTACATTCTAGAGAGAGATTATAATTTTACTCAAATAGTCTGTATTCATGCTCTAGAACAGAGTTTATGTATACATACCATAAGAGCGAGTGTGTGTGTCTGTGTATAAAAATATGATGAATAAAGTTGGTATTGACAATATTGTATCAAAGCATGCCCTTCTGTGGGCTGTTGTAGAAGCAGTAGAGATCTCCAATTTTGAGAATTCTTGTTTTTCCATCTCAAAAATGTAAAGGGTTAGTACTAACACATATTTTTAGTGGAGGGGACTAAAATAGTAATGTCTTAAAGGCCCACTTTTAATTAATTTCTCATTTTATAAATTATCAGATTGGGTTTTCTGAGTCTTCAAGTCAATCTTTAGTTACAATTACATGCTGTAAATTTGGGAGTTCTTCATACAAAGCAAACAGGTTGAATCCTTGCTTTAAGTGGAAAACTGAGTAGATGTCCTATTGTCTGTGTCTCCATAATATAGATTCTATCATACCCCTCCCTATAAGACTGTTGTCCCTGAAATTACTGACACATAAGTAGTGCAGTGTGATAGGCGACTTAAAAAATATAATTTGGCATTACCTGAAAATACAGAATTATTGACAGAAAATTATAAATGATACCAAAAACATTAATGGACTGAGAAATGGTAAGTTCTCCCTGCAGGAGGCACGTTTAGGAATAAACAATAGCAACTTAAATGGAAAATCTCAAACTTTTCTTAAAAGTTTTGGCCCAGATCTTGGGCTGTATCTGATCTGTGCTCAGTGCATCTCAACATGGGAGGTGCAAAAGTAGATTTGTCATCTTTGCACTCTCCTGACCCTGGGGCTACTGGGCCTCAGTGTTGGTGACGGTTTGAGGACGCTCTGTTTTAAGTAGGCTGCCCTTGGCCTCAAGGGACCATAATGGCAACCATGGATCTCCAGGGTGTAGATACCCCCTAGTCATGCTTCTTTTTCCCCAGCTACTCCTCCTCCCCCCATGCTGGGAGTTGGAGAAGAAGGTGTAATGAGAGCTGCTCTGATGTCTCTGGGTCACTTCATAGGCAGAAGAACTCCACATGTGGCTGGTTAAGCCAGCTTTTGGAAGAACTGGTGCAAAAGAGGATTGGGCCTGTTCTTTCTAGCAGGCAAATATACTATAGTAAGAACATGGAAGTTATGAATCTCTCCCCACTTTCTAGGGTCTGGTTATGCAGCATAGGACATGTGATGGAAATGGAAGCAAAGTTCTATACCATGCCATGTACATGGTTGGCACTCGATCTATAATGACAATAATGAAGACACTGTCACAACATAAGATTTAGGAATAGGGTGACAAGCCAGCAAATGTGAAAAATCAGGACTGGGTGGGTGGGTAATAGGAGCCTATATAAGAAAAAGACCCAAAAAATCGGGCATGTCTCTATCAAATTGGGACATCTGGTCACCCTATTTAGGAAGAACCTCTGCTGTGACGTGATGTGACCTATACTAGCTCAATATGTGCATCAGAGGGACAATCTGTATCATATTTGAGGGGAAATAAGTTTCTGAGAAATTACAGTTTCTTAAAACTATTTAGTATTAAAGGCATTAGAAAGGAAACATTCAGTTACGCATGATCATCCTTTCTTGTCCCCTTCCCCAAGATTTGCAGGTGTTTCATAGTAAAAGTGGGACTCTTACATTGCATAGTCTGTTTTCTATAGGACTTTTGCAAGATTTTGTTACCAAAATACTATATGTCTGGATGATTATTAATTATTATTATTATTTTGTCTAACTCACTAGTACTCTGACTTCTTAGGCACTGAAAAAAACTGCTGAACAAACTCATGAAACTGATAATTCTGATATCTGTGGAATTATTTTTTCTGCTTCTAAATGTTACCCTGTCAGTGTTGTTTTGGTGTTCATCGTGATAACAGCAACATGTGAGGAAGGTTCTAAGAAATCTCAGAAAATGGAGCCTCACCTGGTACATAACTAGCTGTAGTTTTTCCTGACAAACATGCGACTCCTTTTGAGTTTCTAGTCATGATAACTTATCAGTTTCATTTTGATTTAATAGGATGGTAAAGTGGACTATAACCACATGACATAGATGCAGAATGCCTCTCTACAGAGATGATGAAATATTTAAAACAAAAACTGAGGCTGAACTTAGTCTTACCACTTCTTTTTCCTCATTTCTTAGCCCATCATCCCTTTGTTTACACAGAATATTCGGGAAGGATATAGGACATTTGGAAAAATAGGTATGATTTACTTTATATGCATCTTTTCAAATTCTTGGAGTTTTCTTTTATTTATATTTTCAAAATCAACTGTTTCTGGGAAATACTAGTCTTGTGAATTTCTTTCGAATCTTTTTTTCTCTTTTAACTCTAGTAACTGTTTCTTTGTCATGTAAACTGAAGTGCACATGGGTTATCTAATCTGAATATGCATTTATTGGACTAAGCATTAATTGTTCTCTACATGGTGACCTATCTAACCTGATAATGAATAGGCAGGAGGTAATGTACGAGTAGATAATTATTTTCAAGAATATGTGGCCTGCATATTGTTTGACCTACTTTATGTAGCCTTTCGTCAAACACCCATATCATTTAAAATGTTTTAATTGCAGTCCAGACACCATTGTGATTCAGGGACACTGCTGACTTCTAAGGTTCTCTCTCAAAATGTAAACCTCCCCTCCCCTTTTTCTAATTCACAGGGTTTTTCAGGTGGTTCTATGAACGTTCTCGAGTGCTACTCATTCCTGGATATGGAGGGTTCCCAGTCAAACTTCGCACATACGTTGGAGATCCCATTCCATATGATCCAAATATAACAGCTACGGAACTAGTTGAAAAGGTAAGTTGGCTCTTGGTATCTTGATTATAATACTTGTCATTTTATTTTGATCTGAGTGAAAATACTACTTAGGTTCCAATATCAGACCCCAGTCCAAACACATCTATAGTCATCTGAGCTGTGCCAGTCCTGAAAGACTAATGGGTTTGAATGACCCAGGAGAGACTCATCAAGTTAGCAGGAAGTTCTTCTCGGAGATCCAAAGGGGAGAGGAGAAAAGGATCTATTGCTGCAAACTGTGGAACACAGTTGGAATTAGAGAGCTAACACAAACTTCCTATCTCTAACCACCTGCTCTTATTCCTATTAGACTCCTCACCTATGCTCTGCCACATACAGTTCCTCATCTCCAAATAGGAACAGCACTACTGTGTGGTCAGGGATAGGTAGACACCCTCAGCAGAGTGGTTTTATTTTTGTGATGATGTTAATATAAAAAATGCCTGGCAATGCTTTGGGGCATGAGAAAGGGGCATAGTTAATATGTGATTTATTTTTTTGGTTGCAAGTGATTACATTTGGAGGTCAGATACAGTTCCCTCACTGCACTTTCTTGACTAGTAGCTCATTCAGGAAGTCGTTTAGGGCAAACATTAAGCACAACCTCCTCAGCAATACTATAGGAATTTTTAATGGTCCATGGCTGCCAAGTCTCTTCTTTAACAGCTTAGACAATGAGTGTAGAAATCTGAAAAGAACAGTGCTCCTGTATTCTTCCCTCCCAGACTTTGCCTCTTCCAGCCCCCACCTCCGCCCAAATTATAATCAATACAATAGGGAAGAAAATACTTAACCTGTTGGGTTGTTTGGAATCTGGAAACTATGTGGTAACTGTATTAATGAAAGGAGGAAGTGTAGAATAGCTATATAGGCATTCCACAGCCATCATAGCTTCCCTATAGCCTACACCCCAAACCACAGATTACCTTGCAAAGGTTTTGTCTGCTTAGCTTCATCAGAGGCAGGTCCTTATCCACAAGGCATAAGAGGTGTTGTTTCAGGATGTCTTGCATCATAGCTCCTTGCCCTCAGGCAGCTTCTGTAAGCTTTTTCTGCGGAGGCTAGAAGGACTGTACAATTATTGCCTCTTTCCTCTTGTTTTTTTTTAAATCCTTTTCTATTTTCTTATATCTCTTGATTCTATAGTGATAAGTGAAGCATAAATGCTTACATGGTTAGAAGACAGTTGAGGAACTGCACAAAGCAGTTTCTAAAACTGACTTCCTGAAGGAGCAAAATACTTTTTCTGCTCCCAGGTTCCACTCATTTGGATCTGGGAATACAGGAGCAGTTAGATTCCCCCACCAGCATAAACATGATTTCAGACACTTACAAGTTCAGAGAAGCATTTGTTTTCCCTTAGATTCAGATCATCAACGTCCTGTCTCTCCTTCCCCCTCACCACCAGCACAGAGGGGAAGGGCATCCTTAGTGTACAATGGGTAAAGCCAGGGACAAGGGGAAAAAAACAAACAAACAAAACAAACAAAACAAAAAAACACATTTTGCCCTTTTAAAAATTTCCAAACAAAAAATCATCTAATCATCACCTTGTTCTATCCTGTAAGATAGATGCAGAGGCCAAAGAGAAGTCCACAAAGGAAAGGGTGACTTCTTTTCAAAGGAACAAGGGGAAAGGGTAGAAGCCTTACTCAGGCAAAATGACAAGTCAGCCCCTGGAATTTAGGAGGTTTCCATGTTCTCCTCCTATATTTGCTTGGTAAAGGGGCACTCCTGCAGAAAGCTGAAGCGGCAGGGTTTCAGTGGTCTCCTCTTTGAGGACTGTGGGATTGCAAAGTGTATCTGAGGGCATAATTTGACCTGGAAAATCTTTCAGTAATGAAGATGCCCGAGAAAGGGACAGAGCTTGACTCTAAATCCAGGAGTTTGCAGACGTGACTGGGTTAGTGAAACGTCATGCCATTTGTGAGGTGCAATTACTATTTATCCCAGATTAAGTTGTCCTGTGAATTTAAGTTGCTGATGAACAGCTGACAGTGCTATTTGATAAATATCACTTTGAACACACAAGATCATGCAGGCTCCTATTATTTGTAATACTTTAACTTTGAGCAGAGGCAGGGGAATATCTTAAAGGTTCTCTGAAGAGCAAAGGCAACTATTTGTTTTGCCCTCTACTGATCCCTCCTGACTTGGAGGAATTACCTCATCATTTTTTCCCCAAAGACATCTTTCTGGGGCTGTTAAGTTTATTTTGCAATAGAAATGACAATTTTCTATAGTCTTCACTTCCCTGTCTTTGGTATTGGAACTGACTAGTGATGTCTCACAAGGCTATATCCTAAAATCTTCAAACACAATCCCTATTTATGTTTAAGAAAAAAATCTAGCCTTTGTTTGATTTATGGGGGAGAGGAACAGAGAGAATAACAATTTGTGGGTAGTCTTGGGGACTATTTAGAGAGAAACAGATTTAGCTCAGGATATCACTTAAGGCTGCAATACTAATTTAATCTTCCAGTGATTTTATTCAAGTTCTCCTGTAAAGAATGGAAAAGTCTATTTCTAAGAAAAAAATACATGGAAATAAAATCCCTGAGGCTGGTTTATTTACTTATCCTAAAGGAGCAATGTGTCAGGATAATGCTCTGTTCCCATCCTCTGCTGCCCCAGAAACTGGTCACACCCACTTTCTTTGAGTTCAGTCTGTATTTTATTACAAATCCTTCTCCCAACACCAGTACAGTGCAACATCAGTTTTTAATTCCTACAGTTTTTAGTCCCTCTTTACCAGGACCCTAGGAAATGAGCTCTTCCTGTTTTGGGAGCTGTTTCAGTCTGGCTCAGTCTTCCCCTCTTGTAACACTTCCTCTCTGGTTTATCAGGTTAGCCAACTGAGGCCTAATTAGTTCCTTGCCTCCCCAGCATAGCTTTCTGATTAGCTACTTGCTCAATCAGCCATCACTGAGAAACTAATTCAGGCTACAGTGATCAGAGTGCTGACCCACCTGTCAGGCCTCAGTACTCTGTCACAAGAAACTAATAGCAGAAAGGTTTCACTTTGCAGGTCATCTTGAAATATGTAAACTCAGAGGCAATTTCTCTTGATTTTCCATTAAAAAAAAAAAAGAAAATATATTAATACAACATGAAATTAAAGACCCAAAAATCAGGAAAAGGTTAATGTTTTCACAGTGATTTCGGGAGATCTTCCAAGAGATGAAAGTGAATTAGATGCCAGTTCCCATTGACTTGCATTGACTGCCCTTTGTGCATTTTGAAAGTCTGCCCCTGATCCTGTACTATTATTATAGTCAATCCTACTCTTCGGCCTCCTAAACAGTAAATACCTCACAGAGCCCTTCAAAATGTGTAACAAGGAACCACACTCCAGTCACTTTTTCCCTTGTATGGACACATACAAAATAGGGACAAGGTATTGGACCAACCTCTGCTGGTGAAAGAGAAACTTTTGAGCTACACCCAGCTCTTTTTCAGGTCTGGGAAAGGTACCCAGGGTGTCACTGCCTAATAGAAGGTGGAGCAGATTGTTAAGCATAAGAAGTTAACATATGTTGCAAGAGACTGTTCAAGATGCGGTGGACAATTACCACATCTGCAGTCTTAGGACAAAGGAGAGTTAGTGGATCATAGATTGTGGGAATGAGACATAAAACCAGCATCTCTATTAAGTCCACAATTTTTAGTGTCTAGCAAGGTTATGAATTTAAGCTCCCAGTCTCTTCTTTTGAAGCTGGTATGCAGGTTTTTCTTTGATTACAAGGACAGAGAGGTCAGATATGGAGTTGATCATTTCAGGAAAAGTGTTTGCCCATGGGTGATAGGGTGTTTTTATCTATTATTGGGACCAACGCAGTCACAACAACACTACATTCAAGATATATAGTTGTATATCTGCAAATGATAAATGTTATGAGACAGATCCTCAGCTGGCATGAGCTGGCTGAGGTTCTGGCCTTACTGGAGCACTGTGGGCGTTAATGCTACTATCAGAAATGTTTTTCTTTTCCTGACTCCCATCCATTTAAATAATTTAGAAAATCGTGGCCAATATATGTGCCTAATCTTAGGCTCACTAATCCATAGTTAGGTGCCTAAATAAATAGTCTGATTTTTTCCACTAGTGTTGAGCACCCAAGAGCTCCCATTGACTTCTTTAACTAAAATATTATTTTGATGCTGAGGGGAAACTGTAGTATCAGTTTGGGTGGAATAAGTGGGCCCAGAGACCAGGAGGTGTTAACATGATTATTGTTGTACAATATGAACCATTTTAAACAAGCAATAGAGAGTCCTGTGGCACCTTTAAGACTAACAGATGTATTGGAGTATAAGCTTTCGTGGGTGAATGCCCACTTCATCATTCACCCACGAAAGCTTATGCTCCAATACATCTGTTAGTCTTAAAAGGTGCCACAGGACTCTGTTGCTTTTTACAGCTCCAGACTAACACGGCTACCCCTCTGATTTTAAACATGGTTTGGGGTCTTGAGTACAGAGACCTTAGGCTGCTTAGTTATTGTGGCAAACACACGAGAAAACTCATGGCAAAGGCTGAAATGTATTGACTGAGATACATGTAAGGAAAAGAATCAAAATAAGGCAAAAAGCATTGAAATTAAGTGATTATGCAAAACAAATAATTCCTTTTTCAGAGATAGAGGATATGGGTTAGAGTCTCTTGCTCTGTCAAGCAGCCCATCTTGGTGAGGAAGGGTTAGTTTTGCTGTTCAATTTTGAGTCCTGCTTGTGACAAAAACAGACAGAGAAGAAGAGATGGAATAGTAAAAGTTGGCAGAAATAGGGTTTTTGTTGATGTACTCAGGATACAAAGAGGCTAGTCAGTGATATCATCCGATTTGGTCTGTTCAGGTCCCTTACCTCTGTCAGTTCTTCCCTGACTGGCAGAGCTGGATGGACTATCTCACCTTGTTATGTTGGGTCCATGTGGTGCTTTTGGTCTCTGGATTAGGCAGAAAGCTGAGACAGACAGAGAGAGAGAGGGGACAGTAGGTAGATGGTGAGGGACAGAAAGGGACACGAGAGAGAAGGATATTGTTGGACCTCATATGAAGTTGGGGTCCTTGCTGGGGCAGTGGTGAGGGTTAGGCACAGGGCTGTCCTTAGGATTTATGGTGCCCTATGCAGCATTATTAAACTGGTGCCTCTTGGCCCGACGGCAGCCCAGAAGGGGAGGGATAAGGCAGTAAAGGATACTGAAGGGAGACAGGGATGGACAGAAAGGACAGGAAGACTTTGGAAGCCAGTTTTTTGTACTATAGTAATTAAAATTAAAGTGTGTATTTTAGATAAGAGTGGTCCTTTGAAGGATTTATTTAAAAAACTATGTCTGAAGATCCAAGCATTTAAGGCTGAAGATGAATACTCAGATAGTGAATCTAAAAATCTGTGTAAGGATTTTTAGAGATGTCATTTTATCATCTTCAGCAATACACTAATTAAATATTTTTAAAGCAAATTTTAAACTAAGGTCCCATAGACTAACTTGTTTTGAGTAAATATTTCAGTAATACACAACTGTTTTTGTCAGTAAATTCAGAAACTGACAGTATATACCTGGGAGTTGGCAAATGCCTGTTAAATGGCTTCATTACCACTTGAATGACTCTTTAACAGTTTCAGTGTTGTGCTAATAGGTCTGGCAGGCCGGAAGACTTTCACTTTTAAGTTACAAGATCCCCTCTGGAGTAAGAGGCACCAGGCTGCAGCTGCCAACTATGGAAGCCTGCAGGAGGGATCAGAACAGGGATAGGAAGAGGCGGGAAGGTGGACACTAAGACCCAGGGGTACCCCAAATTTTTGGTTGCGCAGCCACGTATGCCTAAGTACAGCCCTGGTTAGACATCCCCACTGGTGTGCTAAGGTCCATGTATCACAATGAAAATCCCCGAGCAGCAGCAGCGCTAATGTTTTTTCCTTTCCCTCACAAAGTCTCTAAAAGGACCCCAAAAGGGGGTGATGGGCACAATAGCCCATCCTTTCTTTATTTTGTCCACCAGTTAGGATTAATTTCTGAAGTACCAATTTTGGTCCATTGATTTCAAGTCCCATACTCCTCTTGTTTACCAGACATGATTTTAAGTACCATCCTTGGGTGTTATCAGTAGATCCTCTCTGTTTAATTCAGTCTCCTTTTTCCTTCTTTTCTTAAATAATGTTCTATAGCAAGTGACTGTGACAATTATAAACTTTTACCCACTTTTGACACATTAAGCTCATAATCAGAGAAGGCCCTCTGGGCCCTGATCATTACAACAGAGCAAGGGAAAGGGTTGAGGCTGAATATTTATCCAATTTTAGTCTGAGCAAAATTACAGTAGATGAGATTTAACATGCCTTAAAAAAAAAAAACAAGGTTTTACATTCCAATCCTCCCTGTAGCAGTGCAAAGACTCACCAGTGCAGCACCTCCTGCTGGTTGGGAATTAGCTCTTCCAGCCCAGAGCACCCGCTGCAGGCTGGTGTCTCACCTGCCGCTGGCCCCCCGTGTCCCTCCCAGACCCCGGTGTCCCTTAACCTTGGGGTGCTGCCCCCTGGCAGTGCCCTCACATTCTGGGTCTCCCCACCCAAGGAAACCCCCCCACCCTGTCTCAGTGGCTACTGCCAGTCACCATCTAGCCCCCGCTCACTGGGGCAGACTGCAGTCTGTAAACCACTCATTGCCAAGGGGGTAGGGCACCTATTCCCAGGCTACACTTCTGTAACCCCAGTACTTTTCCCGGCTTTTAGCAAGGCCTGCAGGTTCTCCAGGCTGGAGCTCCCCAGCGTCTCTAGTCTTTTCCCATTCCTGGTCCTCCTCAGCTCTCCGGCAGCCAGGTCCTTCTCTCTCTACAGCTAGAGAGAGTTCCACAGCCTCTGGTCCTCAGCCCTCTTGTAGGGCCAGCTGTGGCCTGAGTGGGGGCATGGCCTCAGCTGTGGTTGCTTCCCCCAATCAGCTTAGGCTTGCTGCTTAGGAATGGGGCAACTGCCCTGCTACACCCCCACCCCCTCAAAATCCCCACCCCTTGGGGAAGTGGTGACTCTTGGCCTGGGCTCCCCAAAGCTGGCTTTCCAAGGCTGCCCGCTTCCTTTCTGAAGCCTCCCAGTTTCTGGCCATCTTCTGAGTGTTGGCCTCCGCCTTCTGGTGGGCCTGCTCCGCAGCTTCGAGCTGCGCCCTCAGGCCCGTGTCTCCCAGACCCTCCACCCTCAGGGTCTGGGTCCATTTGGGGTCCTGTCCCACGACAACCTGGGTCCCGGCCTCTTACTGGGCCCATTTGCTCTGGGTTTCCGTACCGGTGACTGGCTTTTTAGCATCCTTGGGAAAATTAGAAGAGAATGATGGCTGAAGTGGTGATTCTTGAAATATAAAAGGTTTCCCCCTCTTTCTTTCTCTTAACAGACAAAGATTGCCATTGAAACGCTAAGAGACAGACACCAAAAACTACCAGGAAGTATACTAAGAGCTCTGTTGGAACGATTTGATAAACATCAGAAAGAAGACTAGTGTGTTTAAATATATATGTTGTAACTTGTGGGAAGAAAAACTGTAGTTTTCTTAAAAGTATAAGAGACTGCAAACTACATGTATCAAGCATTCAATCATATCACTGCCTTAAACTCTCTCTCTCATGTGGTCTGGCAACTTCAATCCAAATAATAAAAGAAAAAGAAATTAAGAGGTTCATTATACGTAGAGAAAATGATTAGAGATTCTTAAACCACATGATAGACATTCTGACATAAGAGTTAGAGCTCAGGTAACATTAGGAGCACATTGTGGGAAGTCTATTATAGAGGGAGTCGACATCAGAAAACTTGTATTTGGTTTGTTTCCAATTGTTGATAGGAGAATACTGCCCATGTACAGACCAGATGAGAGAGAGAGAGAGATACACACTCACACTCTGGGTGTAACACACTTGTAACTATATTTTAATATTTAATAAAGGTGCACATAAATGTATAAAAGGTAAAGTTATGATTTATCAATATTGCCTTTGCATTAATGTTGAGTGTTTTCCCTTAGTTGTTTTCCTTTGAACAAAGCCTTTGTTTAATTTTAAAACATTGCAATTGAATTAATAATTGAGGAAAACTATATGTACATATATCTGAGGTCCTTATGAGCTCTGCAAAAAAAAAAATGGTACTCTGGTTAAATAGTGTGATACCACTGTGACACTGCACCCCATATTCATCATAGTGGTATGATTGTGATACGATACATCTTGTGAGATTTATATGGAAAAGTTATGATTTGCTGAATATGATTATCCTACTTGTGTGCGTGTATCATTCTGTATCTGAAGTTATGAGTATTGACTATGTAGCTGAGTAACACCCACAACTAGCTTTTCAGGTACAACAATGAAGATGCTATACAGCTATAACGTTTCAGCCAGCCTGCGAGTAATGGCTGCTATGACTCAGCAAGGTGTTTGGGTTTATTTGCTAGGTCAGCTGTTTTGATCTGTTTGCTCTCACTTATAATCACTTAAAATCTCTTTCTGTAGTTGATAAACTGGTTTTATGCTCTGTCTTAACCAGTGTGTTTTGAGTGAAGTGTCTGGGAGAATCTCAGCTCTGAACAAAGGCTGTTGTATATCTTTCCCACATCAAGGGGGAAGCAAATATATTATTGAGCTTACATTGTGCAGTGCAAGATGGTATAATTCTGGGTTTATACTCCAGTTGGGTGCAAGGCTGAATACGGCCCCTGCCTAAGAAGACTGCATTACGCACTGAATGTGCGGGAGCCGACCCGCTCTTACCTGCTGTCATGGGCAGTGGGTGAAGCTGTTGCTTGGGGAGGCTAGCTTCCCAGTCCACCTGTGGCCTTGCCCATACTCCACCCCTGCTCTGCCCCAGGCCCCACCCTCTCTCCACTGTCTCCCTCCTCTTTCCTCCCCCTCCATGATCACCCCTTTCCAGCCAAATCCCTGAACCCAAATGAAGCAAATAACATTTGAAAAAACCACTCAGTCCCTTTTAAGGGCTCTCTTCAACTGGGGGGGGGGGGGGGGGAGAGGGGGGGGGGGGGGGGGGGGGGGGGG